TGAAGAACACCAGAAAAACCATTTCCCAGCACAAGTACCCTCACCCTGATCTGTGGACACCTTTAAAAAGCAGCTCAAGACCCACTTGTTTAAACTCACCTTTGCTTAGTTTTATCTATTAATGTTAAATATTGTTATAATGTTAGTCTCTTTTTCTACTCAAAGTAAAACACTTTGTGCTTTCTGATCTAGAAAAGTGCTACATAAATAGCACACTTTACTTTTCTCCACCTTGCTTTAAACCATGTTGCCGAACAGCACATCTTCCTGATCTATGACCCCGTTAAGTGGGAAAGCAGACATTAAGCCTCCTCCTGCACAGACTGAACATCAGTACAGTTATAATAAATTTTTTTGGGGGGCTAAACTGAAATTATCTCCTTTTCTGTGCAGAAGCTGTCTGGTTGTCCTGAGTCCCAATGTGAGCAAGCTCTTCTTAAGGCCATCTACAAAGTAGACGAGCTGACAGTGGACATCACATCGTGCGACATCACCACGCACACACGCACCGCCAGAAACAGGAGCAAGGTGAGGAGGCAGTAAGGTGCATAAAGCGCTGGAGGACCGTGGATGGATGGTTTTATATTTTCTCTCTCTGTGCGTAGGTGGTCCCTCTGGCTTTGGTCTGTTTGCTGACTGGTTGCTCTCTCGTGGAGGCAGAGTCTCGTTTGGAGCAACAGCCAATCGTAAGGGAGGCTGTGGAGGCATGTCTGACATAATTGACATGGCATGATGTCATCGTCCAGCCCCCTACACACATATTGATGTGTTTAATCAATCTTTCCCCTCTACAGAGAGGTCATAGGTCAGCTTTAATGTTGGTCTCAGATAAATTGATTTCTACTGTATTCGGTGTAATTATGACACACAGAGTTTTCCTTTATTGGTTCTTGCTTTGATTATGAGCTACTATTTATTAGATGCCAAAATGTGAACTGCACAGTTTAAATTTAATCACCTGAACAAGGAGGCTTTTAAATGTAAAACCACATAATAACACTAAGGGGCAGAATTGACACCTCAGCGCAAGCAAACCTAGTCGTAATAACCTGAGAATCTACTGTTAATTTGTACTCTTCTTAGAACAATGTTTTACATTGTTTCAAATAAGATGTTAGAATATAGAAAATCCAGGAAAAACAGCAATAAATGTTTTGTTTTATTTTATTCTCTTGATGTATTTAACTCCTTTCTGATCTATGTTTTCCAACTGAATTCTGGACCTAAATATATGAATATCCATATTTAACCAGAAATAAATACAGTATATTGCATAACTGAATTATGTTAAGTCATATCAGTCTAAATCTGATACTAGGTGAAGTTTGATGTTCACTGACGTTTGCACCCTGTGTTCTGTAACAGTTTTCAGGAGGCACAAGCTCTACCATGTTAGTCTGCGTGATGTAAGTCAGCCTCAATCCCTCGGTGCTTCAACACACACACAGGTACTGGATTAGCGTGACGTGTGTGTATCTTGAGAGCAGCTGAGCAGCTTTGGAAACACCTTTGGAGCACAGCCAAACACAGTAGGGAAGCACAGAGCAAGTGCAGCCCAGGAAGGTAAAGTGCACATCAGATCTGGATCAGAAAGCATTAGCACATAATAGTCATTATGTATATGAACGTGTCTGAAGTAATAATAGCCATTTATAACCTGGAGACCAGTACAAGGACTGTCACTTTACACAATGAGCATTTGATAGTCGTTGTAGAGTTCTGCTCTGGAAATGACGTTAAGCATGCAGTGCTCCAATTTTCTTTTCACGCAAATTCTCACCTACAGTACTGCTAAAGTGGAACCTGTATCCATGCAGATAGTTTTTTTTTTTCCAGGTTATGAGATGTGTCCAAGAATTTTTTTTTACTGTTGTTTGTCTAGTATTGTCATTGTTGTGGATAATATCCAGAACACACTCTCAAGGTTAAAAAAAAAAAATATTATTATTTTTTTCATTTTGATGCCGCTATAAGACCCACAAAAGCAACCAAGACCATCAGCAAGAGGATTGGGTATTTCTGTGTAGTTATTCTAAATGGGTCTAAATCTCCTCAAAATCAAACGGCACACAGACTGAAAGCCTATGTTTACATTTTGCCAGGCAAAGTTTGGCAGTGAGTAGCAGCGAAAAGTAAGGAGGAGGATATTTTTCTTTAGAGAATTTTATTTTTGCCGTTATATTTTGTGGCTATGACCGATACGGGGGAGTCAACCTTGGTTGGCCATTTAACAGATGGAGAGAATTGTTAGATTTGAAAGGATTCAAAACCGATCCTGAATTGGTGCTTCTACCACTTTTGTCCACAGAGGCTCAAAAATTTAGTACAAATTAGTTCCAATTAAAACTTTTCAATTGAAAAATGTGCTGCGAGTGAACAAAACATATAATTCCCTTTAAAATTCAATTTAAAACAAGAGTTTGACATTTTGAGAAAATACACTTATTTACTTTGGTGCCAAGAGTCAGATGCACTACAGCCAGGAGTTTATTAGCTTAGCTTAGCATAAAGATTGGAAGTGGTGGGAAACAACTAGCATGGGTCCGTTTGTTGTATCATGTTTGTTGAATCCATACACAACCAGCAATGTAAAAACAATAAATTGTGGATTTGGATTTTTTTACTTTGAAAAGAGCCAAATTCATAGCGCAGTATTTAAGCTTTTGGTGGTGCCATGCAACTACAAGGCAAAAAGTAATAACCAAGTTGGAATAATGTGAGGTTTTCTTATCCTTCCCATTCATCAGGCATTGCATGAATGCAGCATTAGAGAGTGAGCCAGGCTAGCTGTTTCCCCCTGCTCAGACTCTATGCTAAGCTAAGCTAACTAGAAACCACTAGAGGTGAGTGAAAAACGCACTCAGCTGAAATCATATGAGAATCACCATCCTGTGCATTTATTTAGTTTGTATCAACATTATTACATTCATTTGCTCTAGGTACATGATGTTCAGTGACTGATGGACAGCCAAACAGACCAATAGCAGCATAGGCACACACGCGCTCACCTTCTTGGTACCACAAACAGGAGGCTTTTATCAAACTACGCAAAAAAAAACAAAAAAAGATACACGTTTTGCCTCGTTCACACTGACCTGAACACACACTGACCATTAACAGAATATCTGCTCTAAAAGTACAGTCAGGCAGTAAGAGCCCATGGTTTTGGTTAAATGAGGGAAAATACTCCTTAGGGGTCTTTAAAAAGTATATTTTTCCAGCATTTTAAAGAGCAGCTTTGATCCATGCCAGCCTTTTTAAAAGACTCTCTGATTCTGCTGGAGAGCCACTTACAGAATGAGAGATGTCAGGAAACAAAAAACAGCCACTTAACCGTGATCTCCCCCTCTGTTTCTGTCGATCTACCTTCATATAACCATGGATACAGTAAGGCATCAGTAACACGCTTCACGCTGTTGTTCCACATGGCTGGTTCTGCAAACCCCACTTGAATTTACAGCATGTACAGTAAAACACACTTAAGAAAAAGCTCCTGGATTTAAGCAGCAGAGAAAGGTTTACATCAACCTGAAATTCAGACGTTTGCCTCCTGGCATTTACTATATGTGTGTCAGAAACACGCAGATGTGCTCAGTGTCACATTGTGCTCTGTTGTGCAAGTGTTTTAACTGGATTCCTGGGAAAGAAATGCATACAGTAAATAATCACAGTAATCTGACTACATAAATATAATGAGGTACAGTTACTGAAAAGAGTTTATACATGAGCATATTTAAAGGGAAAACACATTCTAAATGTTATTAATTCAAATATAATACAATAAAACTATGAAAATACAGTTTTTGATTAGGATTAAATTAAATTTTTGAGTAAAAAGTAATCCACAAGTTACTTAAAAGAATAGCTCAACATTTTGGGAGAGTTAGATTGATGTCTGAACGCTAAATATGAAGCTACAGCCAGGAGTTTATTAGCTTAGCTTAGCGTAAAGACTGGAATGAGGGGGAAACAGCTAGCTTGGCTCTGTCCAGAGGTTAAATTTGTTTTAGCAACTCTAAATGTCACATTGTGTCTAGCCTTAATTAGTGAGCGTTTATATGTTTGTAGAAGCCGAGCCAGGCTAGCTGTTTCCCCCCTGTTTCTATGCTAATCATCCAGGCTTTAGCTTCATATTTAGCGCACAAAGATGTGTGGTACCTATCTTCTCATCTAACTCTCGGCAAGAAAGCAAAGAAAATGTCAGACTATTCCTTTCAGGTAATAATCTTACGTCACAGAGCTTTAGTAGATTAAAACAGAGGTCTTCTTTACAGTCTACAGATTCACACATCTAGTTAAGTACTAGGAGATGATCTTTCAAAAGCAAACTGGCTGTCAAAACCCCTGAGAATACGGCCTTAATGAGTCCAAAAAATAGATGAAGAGTTTAACTGATACATAAACCAGATATCAATACACCGGTTATGTCAAACACTAATGAAATAGTCAATTAACATCTAACATATCTCCGAGGTACTTGGTATATTAATGGCTATATTATTCAATCCTTAAACCTGTGGTCCACTGAACACAAAATTCACGTAAATACGTGTCAAAATATACCTTATTCATACACATACAGTACAGAAATAGACATTTCCCTTCATAGATACAGTTACATTAAAAAATATAGATATAACCATTACAAATATAATTCCTAATTAAATAGGATAAGGTGGTGGTTTCAAGTTTCAAGATTCTACATGTAAGTCACTGACTCCTCCTACACTGGATCTGGAGTGATAAAGTGCTTTAAGTGTCTTTTTTTTTGGTTACAATTTTTTAACCTACATAGGCTAATTCTACCCGTGAATGGTTAATGGGAGTCTTGGACCTTCTGATGTCTGTGAATCCACACCAGAAGTCTGGAGTTAAATGTCATCCAGTTCCACGTCACTCTCCTTGGGTTTGCGGCGTTTCACCCTGGCTGGCGACCGGCTCCTCTTCTGGCCCGTCCCGCCACCAGTGGATCCACCATCAGCCATTTTGGGCACTTCTATGGAGTTTACAGGGTTTTGGGGGGATTCTGTGCCAATGTCCTCCAAGGAGCCAGGCTGGGACTCCACAGAGGTCCTGGTGAACTGGTGGAGGAGAGCACCCGCTTCCCTTTTGTTCTTGTTCACCTCTTCGTCTTCCCCCTCTTCCTCAGGCTTGAACTCTTCAACAGCATCTTCCACAACCTCCTCATCACCTCCATCTCCTTCGCCCTCTTTCTCCTCCTCGTCTCCTGTGGCTGCAGCACCCTCGCGCCCTGATTCGTCCGGACTGGTGTCACTTTGGCGTTTGCTGTCGGTGGATGAGTCTTCGGCGTCGGCCTCCTCTCCCTCCGTCACCCCGTGGCCCTGAGGTTGAACAAGACAACAGTAAATTATCTCTGAGCAGTTAGTAGTAATTAACTAAATTGGGTACTACTGGGGCAGCTAAGTGTCAGTAATTACGGCTACATGTTAGTTACACAACGAGTGGAAAAGTACTGTAAATTAGTTGCATTTTATCAGAGCAGGAAGGCTGTAGTAAATAAACTGAATATTTAAAACTCCTCGGGTCAAATAAGATGAGAACACAGATTTGAACAGACAGGTTTTTACCAACCAGTTTGTGACTGACAATAACAGCAGACGTCCATCAGTGGTAGCACTGTGTTACCGCCAAACAAAACAGATTTGTTCAGTCTGTCTAATTGGATAGCCAGATTATCTTTTCCCACAGGCTTAGACTTAGTGGTTAGGGCTACAGTAGGTCAGATTCCTTCTACAAGGTACAGTACACTTTAACCTGGCAGTCATGGTCAGGCTCTCAGTGGTGTTTACAAATAGGTGGTGCTCAAATTGGTATTCATAACTAGAATGTAGTTCCTTATGTGATGTGTACTTTTTAAAACAAGTTTTGTTGAAGGAGCTAAATAAATGTGTTACAAATTAAAATTTTCCTCGGTTTTTGGTTGGTTTTGGTCATCGTCTAACAGTTATGATGATATTATATTCACCAAAAACTAATTTCTGAGATTTGAGAACACAGCAACATAATCCATCAGGCCAGTTTTATTTGGAGGTAAAATTAGAAATAAGCACATAATCATATTATCAATCATTCATTATCTTTTCTGTACACCAGATACAAATGCTTCACACATAATCTTAGAGCTCTTTAAATGTCCTTATATCTACTTACAGCTACATTATAATTATAATTAAGAGTTCAAATGCTAATTAGAGAGGGTTAGTGTTCCTGGATAGTGGTGCTAAACTACAGCAAGTACTACAGGTCAAAGTTGTGTAAAACTCTGATCATGTTTGTTACCACTTCTAACTTTAGCAATGTTACTAAGTTCCCAGATAAAAGTGATTAAAGACCCAAGTTAGTCATTGTAATAATACTATCCTTTAAGATTGTGTTGTCATGTGCCTGGACTAATATTTTTACTGGTATTTTGATTCAGTTTTGGTTGTTTGAAAGTCTCTCAGAATAATTACTGAATGAACTCCTGACTCCTACCTGAGTTGAGGGTCTTTCCTCCTCCTCCCTTTCCTGCTCTTCACTCGCTTCCCCCTCTCCACTGCCATCATCCCCTTCATCTTCATCCTCCGCCTCAGCCGAAGCACTGTCGTTTCCCTCCACTGGCGTGGATTCTTCATTCGTCGTATCTTTTGTAGCACTGTCGTCCTCCGTTTCCCCGGACGCCTCTGCTCCGCTTTCCTTGCTGGTTGTTTCTTCTTCTTCCTCAGGCTTAAAGTCACACACCTCACACTCTTCTGCCTCTGCCTCCTCCTCACCCTCGCCATTTTCAGTGGTGTCTCCTTCACCTGCCGTTGCATCTTTTACTGTCTCTTTGTCACTCTCCTCTTCCTCTTCCCCAGTTCCTGTCTCTCCCTCATTGCCCTCTGTCTCCCCTTCCTCCTCTGCACTCTCCCCCTCTTCCTCCCCTGTTTTCTCTTCATCTTCTGCTGTCTCATCCTCACCTGTGTTGTTGCTAGTTTCCCCAGCATCCTCTCCTGCTGTTTCCCCCTCTCCTTCTTCTCCCTCTTCTGCTTTGTCACTCTCCTCCTCATTTTTGCCACACTGGCATTGGCATTGTGCCTCCTCTTCATCCTCTCCATTATCTGTTGTCTCCTCTTCCCCAGCTTCCTCTCCACCTGTCTCCTCCTCTTCCCCAGCTTCCTCTCCACCTGTCTCTTCCTCTTCTTGTTCCTCATCACCAACCTCTTTTTCCTCCTCTGCCTCCTTCTCTTCTCCTGCCTCACCCCCGTCTTCTTTTTCCTCTATTTCCTCATCTTCCTCTGGGATCGTCTCCTCTAAAACAACAGTAGCTTTGATATCCTCTTTAGTTTCATCCTCCTCCTCTTCTTCGTGCAATACCTCTAAATTCCGCTCCTCCTCGTCTACGACAATGCTATCAACTTCTTCCTCTGCAGGTGGTGGGACGGCTGGAGGCAGTGGGCTTTTCTTCAACTGCAGTATCTTAAGGAGGTCAAACTCTATCATCATTGGTGCTTCGGGTGCCAGTGGGTTCGCTTTGAGAGGCCGGGCGGCCATTTTCTTGCGGACACATGCATCACAGGGGCAGTACTCATCTTCGCTTCGCTGGTCGCTGAACTCACCCGTAAGCTCTTCATCGCTGAGGGTGTCAGCAGTTTTAACTGACTGGTTCTTCATGACCTGAAAAATAAATCAAACATTATCTTTCTGCCTGTCAAGCAGCAGTATGTTGTTGGATGTAAACAGGATTTGTGGTGGAATTACCTTTAATATTCGACGTCTCTTCTCTGTCATGGTTGACTCCCTGGAGAGGTTCCCTCCGTGCGGCGGCCGAGGTGACCTCCCCCCTCTGCCGGCACGACTCTGAATCTTCCTTATCTCGCGTTCGATGCTGCTCTGGATGCGTCGGCTCACCTCGTCCCTCAGCTCGGAGATCATGGTGTCCAGGATGAGGCTATCGTCCAGGTCCCAACGAACTTTGAACTCCGCCATGGCGTTAATGTAGTGGTTCATGAACTGTTTCTCCAGCTTCTTCAGAAGTTGCAGAATCCACACCGGATCAGGGTCTTGGGATTGTTTTTTTGACAAGGGTGCTCGCAGGACAGTCGGGGGTGTGCCTGAGCTGGAGTCCTCCATCGTCTCTCGTTCATTATCAGTGGGGGATTTAGAGCTGTCGTTAGCATCTGATGATGAAGGGTTCTCAGTGGCTTTTGGGCTGTCCAGACTCGGAGGGACTGAACTTTGTTCTTCACTCTGTTCCGGTTCCTGTGCTGTGTCTGTCTCCTCTTTTTCCTCAACTTCCTTGTTTCCGGCCTCTGCATTTTCTTCCTCTTCCTCTTCTGCAACCTTCTCCGCTTCCTTATCCTCATGTAAAACATCTTCTTCATTTATTGTTATGTTTTGCTTTGTTTCATCTCGAGCATCATTTCCATTCTCCTTTCCTGATCCGCCTGAGCCACTGCTCATACCCACCCCGGAGGACGACCTTGGTGGAGTCACCTGCTCCCTACCAACTTCCCCGGCCTCCTTGACTTCAATGTCCTTGGGGTCAGTGAGCCAGAGGGATTGAAGGATGGCCATAATGTCCTCATACCGCTGGTTGCGGTCCTTCTGTTGGTCACAGCTGGGGTTCACTGCAGGCTCAATGAGCTGAAGCTGGGCCAAACAGTCCAAGAACCCCCTGGCTGATGTGCTCAGTCTACGACCATAAACTGGAGACACCTACAGAAGACAGCAGAGAATACAGATTATGTTACATACAGAATTTATGCTTACATTCATATAATCCATTCTATATCATTGTAAATTAGGCATTCTTGAATAGACAAGTAATTTACATGAAGTAATTGGCTTACCTCAGGCATGCTCTGACATCGACCCGTAGAAGAGCTCAGAAGAACTTTCATTACTGCAGTTGAAGAATGCCAGTTCCTGGGCACAGACTCACCACTCCACAACAGAGTGTTGTTGCGAGAAGAAGTCCCCACTGCATCACCTGGAGCTGGATCTGAACTCTTCTCCTCCTTTGCCACCTCACATTCAGCTTCCTCCTCTTTCTCTTCCTCCTCTTTCTCTTCCTCCTCTTTCTCCTCTTTCTCTTCTTCCTCTTCAGCCTCAACTTCCTCCTTGTTTTCCACTTTTTCTTCTTCAGGACTCTCCTCCTCCTTTGCTCCCTCTTCTCCAGGTTTCTCTTCTGCTGCCTTCTCCTGCTCTTCCTCTTCCTGATGCGGCTCGTCACCAAATTCAAGCATGCTGCTGTTAGTGGGAATGCTCCGCAGCCAGTCACTGACAACCTCATTGGGGGAAGCGTTGGGCAGACAGGCAGGTGTCAGTTCCAGCTCCTCCTGATCCACCTGGTTCCTGCTTCTCTGACTCCTCGCACTTTTCTCACTCCTTGGCTTGTCACTGGTTTTGCTCGCCTTCGACTGTCGGCTGTGTGGACGTGCAGCAGCCATGATTTCCTTCAGCAGGTCAGCAGCGGACAGAGAGTGAAACAGAAGGCTCTCACTACATGTCTCCCCTTTGCTGCATGCTTTGGAGTTTTGTGAGGGACAAGGGCTTGAGGGTTTAATAGGTGTTTCTTTCTTTTGAGAATTGGATGTTTTGACACTGCTACTGGATTTGGCCTTATGACATTTGACTGGATTTAAACAGTTTGAGTGAGCCGAAGCTGCCGATTCAGGCCTGAGGCAACAGGGACTCTTTGAGTGCACACTGGCCGCATCGTTGTCTGCGGGATCTTCTTTCCCTTTGGCCTCACTAGCTGGCCTACTAACAGCCTGGTTTTCAGCTTGATTATGTGCTGAATCTCCAGCAGTTGTTTTTGCTACATTGGCATTTTTAACGCTAGTACATGCAGGGGATTTGCAACGAATTTTAGCACTTGCTGTTGACATTGCAGATGAGGTCCTGTTGTTGGGGGCGTCTAAATTATGAGCTTTTGCTGTTGAAGCAGACTTCACACTTGCTGTTTCAAGGTCATCTTCTACTTTGGTTGTGCTGGTACGTTCATGTTTCTCTTTAGGCTTAACGCCAAGCATTTGAGATTCTGATTTGACGCTATACTTGCAAGAAGACTTGTGAGACCTGCTGCTTTTGGCTGAACATGCACTGGCTGCTCTTATTGATTTTTGCTCTGTACCTTCTTCACCACTTTGCCCTGGTGTTTCAATAGTAGGGATATCGACTGCTGGAGCATTGTGAGACAAAGTGCTTTTACTGCCATTTTTGTTGGACTTTTGAGACCTAGTGGACCCTGTTTCCTCCACATCTTCCTTTGTGGCAGACTGCCCTGTGCGACTGGGAGCATTAGGAGTTGCTGTCTTCACCCTGCTCTTACTCTCAGTGTTTATGTGAAAAGAAGCACTGGACCTGCCACTGTCTGAGTCAGCTGTTTCTTGATCTTCTGGCAGCCCAAGAGAGACCGACCCTGAAGAGTTTCGACTCAATGGTTGCTCAGTGCCCCCTGATTCTCTTCTCGATCTTTTGGTTGAGGACGACAGGATGCTAGCAGCCCGCTCGGAAGCCTCCTCATTCTTTAGCTCCTCATTGTTGTCCTTGTTCTCCATCTCCTTATCTTCCACCTCCTTTTCTTTTTTTGCTGAAGCTGCTCCACAGCGACATTTGGATTTGCAGGATTTAGCAGAGGTTGTTGAGCGAACTGACAAGGCACTGGCCCCTCTTGTGTCTGGACCAGGCAACAACTGTTGCACAGGGGCTTGAGGACTTCTAGGGGATGTAGTTGGAGCTTTGGGTGAGTGGGTCCGTGGGGAACGTGTCGTCCTGGGTGAGAGCGTTTGGCCATTAGATTGTTCAGAAGATTTACTTTTTGGTGCATTGTCTTCTACAACTTTTTCAGCAACAGTAATATCAGTTGCTCTATTATGTTTCGACTTATGTGATGAAGCAGATTTCCCTGATTTAGCTGATGCAGCGCTTGGTGCTCTCTCTGTTGTCTCATTTCCTTCCTCATCAACCACTTCTGGTGTTTTAATGGTGACAATATTTGGATTTGGTGACACAGATTTTAGATTGTTGTTGGAATTCGACTTGTGAGAAGTACTGGACCTCACTGAAGACTTTGACTTGACAGACATAGCACTAGCCACCCGCTCTTGATTTTGCTTCTCTTCTTCATTTGTCTCAATAGAAGGAACATCGGCATCATTTGGATTTGGAGATGCAGCTGTGCGGTTTGACTTCTGAGACTTGGAGGACTTGGCAGAGATGTGTGATTTCCCCGACATGGCACTGGGGATTCTGTCCTCTGTCTCTGCTGTGTCTTTGGCTGGAGAAGCCACTCTTGAACTTGCTTCACAATTTGTGTGGTGAGACTTTGCAGAGGAAGCTGATTTACCAGATAAAGCACTGGCAGCCCTGTCCTCAGCTTTTTCACCGTCGCCTGTGTCCAAACTTGCCTGTGTGTTCTCATTACAGTTGGATTTATGAGATTTAGATGACCTTGCACTGGCTGCCCTCTCTTCATTTTCCAATTTAGCAGACATTACACTTTCTGGCCTCTCCTGTGTTTCCTCTTCTACCATCTCATTTTCCTTTTCCTCAGCTACCATTGAGCTTGGAGATTCCTGGATTTCATCATCATTATTTTTAGGCTTGCATGACTTTGAAGACTTAACAGACATGTCAGATTTAACTGATCTGCCAGACAATTGACTTGCTGCCCTTTTTTCACAATCTCCTCCAGTTTCTGATCTGGGAGAAAGTGACCTTTCCGAAGCTTTGGTGGACTTATGGGATTTATTAGACCTGGCAGACAGATGGGACTTGGCTGACATAGCACTTGCTGCTCTCTCCTCTGTCTCCATTGCTTCTTCCTGTTCTGTCGCTTCGATAACAGGTTCATCAGCTGCCGTATCACCTGGAGATACTGCTCTCGGACAGTGACTGCAGGTGGACCTGTGAGATGTCCTGGACTTTGCTGACACATTTGATTTAGTTGATTTAGCTGATTTAGCAGACAGGACGCTATCAGGTCTTTCGGCCATGCCAGGCTTGTCAGAAGCATTAGACTTAACGGAAAGCGCACTAGGAGTTCTTTCGTTTGTGTCATCTTCTTCCACAGCTGTATTGTCAGTTGGGGAGGCAACCTTATTACTTAACTTGACTGAAGCACTGGTCTTTGAAGAAGTACCAGATTTGGCTGACAAGGAGCTAAGTGGTCTTTCTGCAGCGTTCTCTCCCTCTGCTTCCTCTCTGGCCTCAGCTGTGCCGCTGCAGTTGGACTTGTGAGACTTGCTGGACTTGGCAGACAGGTTTGACTGAGCCGACAGTGCAGTGGGGCTTCTCTCCTCCTCTTTTTCTGCTGCAACACCAGTGCTGCCATTACTGCCAGACTTGTGTGATCTATTGGATCTGTGGCTTGAGGCTGAGGTTGCACTTGGAGCCCTTTCTTCCTCTTTTCCTGTTGCCTCAGGACTGGAAGTTGTGGACATGGCAGTAGATGATCTGCCCTCCAGGACATTTGATATTGCAGAGAAGCGCCCATGGTTGGTGAGGTTGGTCCTGTTGGATTGTGTTGACCCAGCTGAAACATCTGAGCCATCATCATCACTGCCATCATTGGCAATCTCTTGGCTGGAGAGAGGTGTGGCAGGCTTTGGGGAGGCTCGGTGGGAATGATGGGACCTCTGTGATGCTCTACTACTGGAAACAGAGTTGACCCCATGTTTGCAGCCTCCACAATTATGACATGCACTGGATGTCCTTGACTGCAGAGAGTCTGCCGAAAGTCCTGTGTGACCAGACAAGCCACTTACAACCCTCCTTAGCTCTTCATCCTCATCATCTGCAGCTTCGTCTGAGGTAGGAATATTGACTTTGCTGGACCTGCAAGATGCTCTGCTCATCTTGGATCGAGTTCCTAGCTCCATCTCCTCTACTTCAGCTGTTGAATGTGGGGTGGCTGCTCCACAGTGGCAGGAAGAGGCTGTAGATACTGCCCTACTTCCTCTCTCTTCCCCATCCTCATGCTTGTTGTGTTCAGTAGAGTGGATGGAACTGGAAGAGATGTTCCTTTTTGGTTTATCATTCAGGTGAGCTGGTGATGGGGATGGTTCAATGCTATGACAGCATTGTGAGGCGCTGGGTGGCAGGTCATCATCCTCATCTTCTCTCAGTGATTGGAGAACATGTGAGGAGCTGCTGACTGCAGACAGCGGACGCACCCCGTCATCCTCCACCAAAAGCTCATCCTCTACTGACTTCCGGCTAAGTGGTCGTAGGGTGCTATCCACTGCAAGTACTTCACTGCGGCTGCAGCATCGGCTCACCCTGTGCACCTTTACATGGGTGTCTCCATCCTTCTCCACCTCGACTCTGCGCTCAACCTGCTCCGTCACACACATGTCCTCCTGGAGCAGTTGGCTCTGCTCTGAACCAGAGCCTCCTCCACAGTTGGAGAGTCGTGCTCGACAGCGCACCACCCTCCTAGAATTACATGATGAGGAAGAGCTAGAAGAGTGTGTATGTCTCATCATAGTGTGACTGGATGTATGTGGGGGAGGGACAGGAGGCTTTTTGTGGCTGTGTGCTGGGTTTTCCCATAAGTCGTACTGCTGTTCCTGTCTCTGGTAGCAGCAGGGGCAGTGGTTCACTGCTGAAACATGCGGCAGAGGTTGGCTGGAATAATCCACACACTCTGGCTCGAAGGTTGTGGAATCGGGGTCAGAGCAGCTCTCTGATTGACCCTGCTGTAGGTAATGGGGCTGGGCCTGGCTCAGGGGGCAAGATTCATTGCTCAGAGATGGGGATTTTTTTATTTGTGTGGACCACTGCAGGGTCTCCTCATTGTGTAGGCGAAAACGCACCCTCATCTCTACTGAGAGGCTGCCATCTTTATTGACTACGACACGCTTTTCAATGTCTTCGTTCATAATACCCGGTCTAGCCTGGGAATAGGCGCTGACACCATTGCTATATGACTTCTCTGAAGACAAGGAGAAACGGGCAGAGCGGTTTGAGGAGTCTGAACGAGGGTGGATGATGCTTTTCTTGGTTTCCAGACCAAAGTTAACTGAATAGAGAAAGAAAAAAGTAAATGTTAATGTAACCACTATTTCACTTTTCTTACACCTTTAAGTACTTTAGGATCGTTTGTGTATTGGGTAGTTACCCACCCAATAGTGTATGGTTAAATACTTTTGAGAAGACAAAACAACTCACCATTTTTCTTGCTTTCATGCCCTTCACTGTACTCGCTGGCTCTGGACTGAGCTCCATGAGGTGGGGATCTTGGTCCTTGATTAGCAGGAGATCGGGCCCCATTTCCAGGAGTCCTGGGGCCAAGACCAGGGGACCTGCTGCCCAGACCAGGCAGTTTTTCGTCTGAGCTCTTCCTGATGAAGTTTACCAGCATTGGGCTGAAGGCTTCCCGGCCAACACACACCAACACACCTGGACAAGTTATTAAGCTCTGCACGCTGTCAATCTGGAAACAAATATGCAGTGTCAGGATTTTCCTTTACACAGGGTGTTATCTGCAATACAAATCATGACCATGCATTCATAACAAACCACATCTTACCCTGCGTCCCTCTGCAGTGTAGAGTTTGCGGACATGAAACTGCATCACCTCAGAAACCTCATCAAGAAAGGCCCTCAAGCTCCTGGTCGACCTCCTGCCTAGCACGATGCTCCTCCTCATTCCTGGCTCGGTGTTCTTCACCAGCAGGATCCGTCGCTGCCTGTAAGACAGATGGCCGGGTGGTGTTGTGGACAAGGTTTCAGGCCGGTGCGGCCTCTGGCTGTGATGGGACCAGATGCCTGGGCGTTTGCTGGCAAGCTCCATGTTGACTGGCTTAGCATGCCGTCGGTCAGAGCAGAGGTAGCAGCCACCGTCCTGGAGCTGCTCCAGGTGTTTGATGGCGTGGGTGCCACGGGGAGTGGTCACAGTCCGCACACCAAATGGCAGGGGCACCTGTATGTGGACACATATATGCACACTTACTTTGTATTCAGTACATATCTGTATCTATCTATTGTCTCCAGATCAAATACTGAGAACAAAATTTAAGGAAGTGAGCTAATGCTGTTGCCAGGTTAAAAAGATTAAAGTGCAGTACAGCTGCATCTACCCAGCCAGCTTCAAAAGATATCTCTACATCACATCTCTGAGAGCTGTCACACTAACCTTTTGGGAAAGGTCGTCCAGCAGGGCATCAAAGCATTTGAAGCTGCGCTTGTGGACCGCCATCCTGATGCCCCCGAACTGGCTGTCGCCGCTTTTGTAGAAGGTGATCCGCTTGGCCGGGGTGGCTGTGGTCACATGGGCGAGGCGTGAGTTGGAGAGGTGCGGTAGGGGGAGGGGCGAGGCATGTTTAGATGGGGGCCGGGGGTCCCACATCCCTGCCTGAACTGAATGCATGCTGCGATCTTACACACACCTGAGGGATACACACAAACGTGCAGCACAGAATTTGAAGGAGTTGTTGCATATGTTCACATTAACACTGTACTTGAGTGGTTTATCAACTCACTGCCTTAAATAACACACACGTGCACACACAGCACTACAGAGGAATTTGATTGCAGTTCTCTTGCAGATTCATCACCACGACAGAAGAGTACTTCAAATGCAAATGTTTTTTTATTATATTATCTTTTTAATGTCTTACATTTGCTTTTGTTCTTCTGTTCACACACTTTCTAACCACACTCACAAGGTCACAACTCCTAATCAGGACTAAGGATTGAGGACCGGACATCCACTAAAAGGACTACCTGACATGTAAGGGTTTTAGTTACATATATATGTATATATTAGTATATCACGATACTTAATAGTCACTAATACGTCTGATACTATTATCCCAGTTATACATATACACTATTATGAGACTATATATTACTACGGTAACGGTAATTCCTGCTACAACAGGGGAAGCGTTTTGTACAATGTCATTTTGCTAATCTAACCAATAAGCTTCCAGGTAAAAGGTTTGTCACCTGATAAACCCTTTTCCTGCATTCTTTCTTGCTTTAAATAGCCAACGTGCCTAACAGTTGACAGATTTCCTAAAGATTCCTGATGATTCTCATGCTCTCAAAATGTTCTGTGCAAGCATCTTTCACCTCTAAGTTATACATATCAAAAGAAATCTATCTTTATTCGACCGAAATAGAAGATCTTGCTCAATTTAGTCAATTTTGGGACAAAAAACATAGTCACATAATGTAAATTGACATAATCAAATGCAGCTACATGCACATCCACCGTATATAGGTGTTAAAGACAGAGCTTCCCACAGAATGCTATATTTAGTGGAGCCTAGCACACATCTAGAAATCCTATTTGGAACGGACATAAAAAGTTTGTCCTGCTTCTGAACAGCCAAGATAAACCTGCTTGCATAATAAACGCTACGTAATTCACACTGTTAACCTCACCATTTACTGATTGATAGAGCAACACAAAACATGTATACTTTTCTAACTGGTTCTGATGGGGTTTACAGGTCTGAGTGCATTTGGATAATTGTATATTCACACATGCTATCAGAGCTGGAAGCTTAGATTTTAAATTGCAAATTGCAATATGAACAGACCGAATCATTACAGGAGACTACAGCGATCATCTCAAGATCACATCACTCTTATATTCAATAGAATGATAACGTTAATCATGAGTAGGGTGACTTTCAGTAACCTACGAAAAAAGGTGACTGTTACCAGCAGGCTTAGCAGGCTTTTAAGTCCCATGAGGCTAGACTTCAGGCCAAATCACTGCTCTTAGCTGTAGGCATTCCCAACGTGACGCACTGCCTGTTAATCCCTCTTCAGCTCTGTATCTCTTAACAACTTTATATATATATATATATATATAAACACCTAAAATATCCCCATGCATTTGATTTTGTATGCAACAGTAAAACCAAATGCTCAACTGCATGATTTTTTTTAAATAAGCCATGGCAGCAACTGAATGGTTTCCAAGGTGACACAGCACAAACAAGCTCATTCTGACTAGCTTCGAGATAATCTGTTCAAATTTTACATTTGATCTGAGTGAAGAGGTTGCCGGAGGAGCTTGTTAAAGAGGACAGACGAAGCTTGTTTTGAAATCATCACAAAAGACCAGTGAAAAAGAGATAAAGGAGAATATAATTAGCTCTTGGGCTAAAAATAGGCCTGTACTTTTACATTTAGAATTTGAAAGAGCTGCGCAGGTTAAGAACTCGGCTTTCACTTATTATCCCTGCTGACGCCTGAATACAAACCTGAAAAAGAGAGACTCATTATTATTAGCCCAGTTAACACTCCTCTTAAGATTTAAGAGACAATAACTGACACAGAACGCCACTGAAAGACATTGAAAGACATTTTAACAAGGCATTATATAATGAGCCACATCCACTAGCCCTTTGAGCTTAATAGCAAGAACTTTTTAAGATGAAAAACATGAAAAATAATGAATAGGTCATAACAAATGATAGCAGTATAACTGTAGAACCCCTTTTACCACTATAAATGAACTGTAATATCACAGTAGATTATTTTACCACAAAGCAATCGTCACTACTAGAGACCTTTCTTTATAACTTCAATGTCAACTAAAGTACAATTTTTTTAACATTGTTCACCAATTTGCACAATAATATGTTTATATATTTATATATTTAGTATGTTTGTAATAGTGTGCTGTGCTATGTGTACTGTATGTACTTTTGCTGTACTTTAGAAGAAGCCAAAGACAGATTGACTATTGTTCATCTCAGTGGAAATCAATGAATTTAAGACTTTTTTTAATCCTTACATAGTAACTTGAGAACAATTTCTATTATTTATTTTTTTTACAAGTAAATACACCATTAATATACCAGATTATCTATTAGCTACATTACTCACATATTCGGGAAACATGGTCCAATAAGATGTGACAAAGCCGGAGGGGAATCTGTTCCTGTCCATGAAGGGTCTGACCGGTCGAGTCAGACCAAAAGTTCGCACTGTGTGTCTGAATGTGTGTATGTGTGTATGTGTGTGTGTGTGTGTTGCCTATCTCTGCAGCTTGAGTCATACACTGAGATGTACAGCAGAGCCCCTGGTTCCACAGCTCTCAGGGCAAAAATGGCAGTCGGTAATCAGGCGCAGGGAGGGAGGGAGGGGAGGAGGGCGGATAGGGGGAGAGGAGAAACGAGAGAGAGGGAGAAGAGGGAGGGGGCTAAGGATAAGAACCAAAAGCCTGATTAAGGACTGTGCGTGTGTGTTGGGGGGGGGGGGGGGGTTTATGGTGAGGCCCAAGATGGCGGGGAGAAAGTGATGTTTTATGCCGCTGCACCTGACCTGGAAGCACATGCTAATTTGCTATTTTTGTTGCAATTAGAATTTTTGTAATGTAATCAAGACAAACGTGGGAAGATATTTGGTAAAATATAAACTCGATGGTTCTTTTTAAAGTTTATAGTTATATTAGTGAAGGTAGATGAAGAGAAGTTACTTGCTTTTGATCATTTTTAGGTATAAACATTCTCATTATTTATCTCCCCACAGCCCCT